ACCTTGAAGGAAAGGTTGACAATAGCTCATGTTCTCATTATTCTGAGCAGTGGGGAAGGATACGAGGTTTACACCAATGCTTCGTTACGAAGCTTGGGATGTGTGTTAATGCAAGGAAGTAAGGTAGTTGCTTATGGCTCGAGACAACTCAAGATTCATGAGCAAAACTATCCCACTTATGACTTAGAACTTGCCGCTGTGATTTTTGAGCTTAAGTTATGAAGGTGGTACTTGTATGGAGAAAAGTTTAAAATGTATTCTGATCATAAGAGCCTCAAGTATATATTCACCCATAAAGACTTGAATCTTTGGCAAAGAAGGTGGATTGAGTATCTAGAAGATTAGGATTTCACACTCAACAACCATCAAGGGGAAGGCGAATGAAGCAGCAGATGCACTAAGAAGAAAGTCTCGGGGTGAAATCAATGTTCTTGCTGTTAATAGGTGGAAGATGATTGATGCCTTGGAGGAATTTGATCTATGGGTGGATAGACAGGGGGATCGATAATGCTTATTTAATCTTGTAGCTCAACCAATTCTTCGACAAATGATTATGGAGTTGCAATGATTAGACACCGAGTTGGGAGCTATCCGGGGTAGATTGGAGAGGTATGAGATTGTTAAGAATTGGTTGATACAGGATGATGAGTTACAGTTTCATGGAAGACTATGTGTACCAAGTAATGACCAAGTAAGGGAAGAAATGTTGGGTGAGTGTCATCGTTCAAAATTCTCCATACATCCGGGTAGTACCAAGATGTATAGGGACATGAAGCATCAATATTGGTGAAAAGGGATGAAATAAGATGTGGCTAAGTACATTTCAAAGTGCACGGGTGTGTCAGTAAGTGAAGATTGAGCATCAAAAGCCCGGAGGATTATTATAGTCCTTGCTTATTCCAGAGTGGAAGTGGGATTACATCACCATGGACTTCGTGTTTGGTTTTTCACGGACTTCACGCGGACATAATGCCGAATGGGTCATTATAGATAGACTTACCAAGTCTACTCATTTCTTGAGTATGAAGACCACGGACACTTTAGAGACCTTGAGCAAGTTTTATATTCGCGATATTGTTAGATTACATAGAGTTTCGGTCTCTATTGTTTCGGATCGTGATTCTCATTTCGTGGCACAATTTTGGCAAAGTCTAAAATGAGCTATGGGGACAGAGTTACACTTTAGCACTGCCTTTCATCCCCAAATTGATGGTTAAACCAAGAGAGTAATACAGATTTTGGAGGACATGTTACGAGCTTGCATGTTGGACTTCAAGGGTAGTTGGAGTGATCATTTTTCGTTGATGGAATTTGCATATAACAATAGGTATCAGACAAGTATTGGAATGGCTCCTTATGAGGCATTGTATGGAAGACCAAGTAGGTCCCTAATTTGTTGGTTAGAAGATGGCGAGAGTAGCTTGTTTGGGCCAAAAATTTTTCAAAAAACTACATAGAAAATTCAACTTATCCGGGAAAGACTACGCATGGCGCAAAGTAGAGAGAAAAACTATGCGGATAGAAGAAAAAGACCCATAGAATTCCAAGAGAGAGAGTATGTGTTCCTCAAGGTGTCACCCAAAAAGGGAGTGCATAAATTTGGCAAGAAAGAAAAATTAGCTCCAAGGTATATCTGACCATTCAAAGTGATCAAAGCAGTGGGTAAAGTGGCACACCAACTTCGGTTATCAACTCAGTTGTCAGGAATACATGACGTGTTCCATGTGTCAATGTTGAAAAAGTGTCAATCGGATACAACGCATGTCCTAGATTTGGAGAGTATAGAAATACAAGATTGGGCAACATATGAAGAACAACTGGTGGAGATTCTAGATACCAAGGAGAAGGTACTTCGCAATAAAGTCATTCAGCTGGTGAAAGTCTTGTGGCAACATCATAGGGTGGAAGAAGCTACTTGGGAACCAGAGCTGGAGATGCGCGAGAAGTACCCTCATTTGTTCGCTACATGAGGTAAGTTTCGAGGACGAAACTTTCTTTAAGGGGGTGGATTGTAAACTCCCCCCCCCCCCCACACTCTTATCTATATATAGCAAATAATCATTTCTTTTTGGAAATGCTAATATTGTAAAACTCGGGTAAATATATGAAAGCGTTTGTAGTAGAACTTGTACCAACTATGTTTAATAGACAAATATATGTTGTATAAGTTTGGGTTAGTTTTAGAAGGGTTTGGAATGGATTAAAAATAAAAAATAGGTGAAACAGACAAATTCAGACAAATAGTACCGGCACCGTGTACCGGTACCACGCTGTACAGAGAGCATAAAGTACCGGTACTCTTTCTAAAATTGTTTTGCCAAGCTTTGGGACTATGTATTCTTTCCTTCAAATGTTATAAATGGACAATAATAGAGTACCAATGATGGTATGTTGGACCCCGGATGGGTCAATTGATTTAAAACCTTCACTAATAGCGGTTCGGAGGAATAAAATAGTAAATTTAGTGTTTCGAGCATAAATATACTTTAGAATAAAGATAAATCATAAAACTAAATATTTTTAGGTTAAAATAACATTAAATAAGAATCCAAGACGTCTAAAAATCTTAGGGTAGTCATAGAAATCAAATTGGAGATATTTAGTGGCAAACCCGTAATTTCGGAGAAAAAAATATAATTTTGGCCCTATGAACAGTAAAATTCGGGATTGGGCTGGCTTTAAAACACCATTTTCATCTCATTCTCTTCCATCCCTTCACTCCACACTCACCCCAAACCACATAGAACCCTAGGAGAAGATAAAGGGAAAAAGAAAAGGGAGGAAGGAAGTCTCTAGAGCTTGGAGTTTTGCTTGGAACTTTTGATTCAAGGCAGGAGTTTTTTCCCACTCTTGTTCATTGAGGCTAGGGCTTATATATATATTTCACTCTCAATCATATATGTATGCTATAAAATCCTTACTCATTGATATTTTTGTAAAGATTTCCATGTTTTGAAGGAAGCTATGGTGGAATAGCTATCAAATCTCTTTTTCTTGCCTTAGAACCCTAGTTTTCAAGAGAAATGAATTTTCTCTTGATTTTTCCTTTGTCCTTGATTTCAAAACTTTAGTGCTTTGTATTGAACAATAAAATGGTATTGTTAATGATCTTTTTCTTATTTTCTTAAATTGTTCTATGGTAATACTACATGTAAAATTTGGGGATTTTGGAATTGCTTGTCATTTGAGAAAATTGTTGGGAATTATATTTCTTGTGGATGTTTGGATGACCATGGATGGCCGTTGACCGGGTATCATAGAGTGGGTAGATGCATTTCTTACTCCATGCGGATTTGAATTTTTCCTACCACTCATAGTGGGGTTGGTGCCTTGTGAGGACCAAACCACTATTCGCTCACGGGTGCCGAGGATGAGAGTTAGTATACTATTCCTGGGTTGGATTCGTCACTGTCAATGTGTTGGTATACGCCCTTCCTAAAAGTTGGATATCCTTGCGAGGATTGGGTGTGTGTGTGTGGGCCAGGATATTCTCGATGTGTTTATTCATGCGATGCCATACATTATACCTAAGATACATAATGTTGTGAAAGATAAAAGTTGTGGTTTGATATACATTGTTGGAAATGGTACAAATTGTGGGTAGTGTTTGTTGTTGTGGAAATGGTTTATGATTGGAAATGGCTTATTGTAGGAAATTGGTTTGATCTCTTCTTTTAATTTATTGGTATTGCTTAAACTTGTGATCGGATGAACTGTTACTGTTTTCTTTCAAAAATTTATATATGATAGTTGTGAAATGAGACCGACTTGTTTTATATGTTTTCAAAATCTTGTCTAAGTTTGGTAGGATTTTCCTACAGAGCTTAGTGCTCACCCTCTACAAACAATATTTATTTTTCAGATTTCGATTTAGAGGAAGAGCTCAAAGTTGATGAGCCGGTACATTGGGAAGCTCCAATAGATGGGAATGTAAATCCCGAGACAGATGTTTAGAGCTATACTCTCTCTCATGTTCTAGACTAGGAAATTATTTTGAGACAATGTGAAGTCTAATCTTTTGTTATTCCGCTGCGAGATTAAGTTTGATTCTGTTGGATATAATTGTCATGATTTGACATATTCTTTTGGATGATGTTATATATATATTATGGATGATGAATGAAATTATCTTTTTTTATGAATTTTATTAGTTGCTCTCATGATGTAAATGATTTTAAATAGTAATGTCGTCCAAGGGGGATTTTGGAGCGTTACAGTTATCTAGAAACACGTACGAGGCCAAGAACTCCTCAAAAGGAGGAATGTCAGCATTGAGGACCAACTGCCATAGCGAAAAGAACACCAAGACTACCCTCCAACCATTCGGGGTCAGTCTCCCAAGAGTAAGTGACAAGTGGCCCAGGATCCGACATATTGGCCTAAGTATCGAGAACCTCAAACCCACCTCTAAGATGTCCTCATAAAAAAAATCTCAACCGAGAAGTCACAACATGACGACTTATCCCCCTCAGCCCGACAACACATAACGGCAGGAGGGACATGGAATGAACATACAATGCGGGCAATGTCGTCATCACAGTCTATGGAACTAAAGATCGATATTACCTTTGAACCATCACATTCAACAACTCCTTTGGCTCACTGTGAAGCCTGCCTAACCTCCACCGTACTACGCCTACTAGCTCAGGCACCTAAAAAAACAGAAGCTAGTAAAGGTGAAGGGGCACCAGGATTCACAAAAGGTTATGAATGAGATTAAGTCAACTGGATGAATGGCGATACCTTGTTTTCCTTCGTAGTCTGATCCATCACCTCCAGTGCCTAAACCTGATCCTTCCCCCCAACATGTCACAAAGACCGGTGCCCAGTGCATCATAGGTGTCGCCCAAACCGCAGGAGTCACTTACACTACCTAGCATGCAGCTGGCATCACCTGGCACGCAATTGGCACCACCTAACACAATACTAATGTGGCCTGGGTTCCTCCCCACTTTGACATCCATGCCCAGGGCCTCTCCCAGCTCCTTTCTACCAAAGACTCATCTGCTTGTGCATCCAATGCTATCCAGGCCATTAATGCTGTCAAAACCCCTGTTACTAGCATCGCCGCCCAATCCAGTGCACTCCATGTCCTTCCTAACATCTCCAAGGCTAGCTCCGGCATCGCCCAAGCCTTTCGCAGTTGATTCGGAGTTGCAAAAGCTCATGGTAACCGATTTGGCACCACTTGTTCCTACTGTCATCCTGTGTTCGCCCAGACTAGTGTGAAGGGCGCCAGACCCTATGGTGTCCCCACTCTACTTATACCCATGGATGTCGCTCTCTTTGTTGTTGCCAGGAACGTGACCCGATGTGTCGCCATCCTTCTCAAGAGCCTCACCCTTCGCGAAACTAGCTTCGCTTGAGCCCTTGGTGCTGCCCAAACCTTTGGCGTCGCCCAGGTCATCTTTGGGGCCACATGTGCTTCTGGCACCTAGACCGCCTCTGCCTCCTCTCTTATTGACTTTGGCAAGATTCCTCCTACACCTCTGGTGACGACACCACTACTCCTTTGGGTATTGGAGGAGCCCTTAGTAGATTCAGTGGGAACTTCCATGATTTCTTTTGGTTTTGGGACCCCTTTTTTTGTTTTCTCGCTCAATTTTGTATCTCTCTTATTGGGTTATAGAATAGGGATGGGTATTTATAAACCCTGATTATGAAAGAGATATGGTGGGTAAGGTGGGGGTGCTCTTTAAAAACCTAGTAGCAATGTCCTGGGTAAAAAGGGGGACTTTTACTGTCAAGTTCGACAAGATACCCAACAAAGGGATGATGGTTAGAACAATAGTTTTCCAACCATGAAATTACCAAACGAAGAAGAGGAGTTTTGTAAGTACAGAAGGATGAAGTGATGAACCATGGAGCACAAGATACCTATTTGCCTAAATGTAGAGCACACTCATGCCCTCAATTTCCTTGACATCGCAAGGACTTGGGGCATAGGGGCAAATGATGAGCCCAAATCTAGCTAGGCCTAGGCCCAGTCCATGGGTGAGCCCAAATTAGCTACAAAGTAGGTCAATTCCAACTCATGGATTCAGCCCAGTCCATAGTTCAAGGAGTCCAGTAACATTAGCCCATGTGGGGAGTAGTTACCAGGATAGCCACCTTCAAATATCAAGACAATCTCTAATTATACATATCCTAGTAGTAGCTATCCTCCCCGGAAAGCTAGTATAACCTACCCTCCTTGACTTCAACTAAGGCTCTGTGCTTATAAATTGTAGGTCCTCTACACATGAGGGACATCTCTCTATGCACCTTTTAGACAGCTATCTTTCTCATAACTACCTAGAGCTTACCCTTGCTCTCTCTCTCTCTCCCACTTACTTTATTAATAAAATTCTTAGGCCACTGTCGCCGTCTTTAATGGTTTGGTCACCTCGACCCAACCACCCATTCTTTGCCTTTTGACTATAATTGCTTAATTAATTGCTTCATTAATTTCTCTGCATCATATACTTGACTGTTGATTGTGCATAACATATTTTGTGCATCATCAAATTGTGTACTTACATTACATAAAAAATTTAATATAATTATATTCATGAAGAACATGAAAATTTTCGTACCTGAAGTACATAGGAATTTTACCGTGCTAGAAAAAGCCACATAAATTACATACCTAAAGTTAGCAAATTATTGTGATGCTAGAAGATCATAATTTAATTTGTAGGGCCTAAAGCTTATTTTAAATCTTGAGAATACATAAAATCGTGCCAATAGCACGTGAAATATTAATATTGCCTACAGTATTTTCTTATTATATCCATTTATATTTATCTATTTTTTCATCAGATTTGTTCAGACATGCAGTTCTATCTGAGATAGTTAACCCCACATTGAGAGAGTGGAGGTCACTGATTCGAATATGTCATTTAGGCGTTGTAATAATAATAAAAAATATTACTTAATCTATATGAATAATAATTATTTTGAAGCCAAAAAATATTAAAAGGTTACAATGGGCTTAATATAATCAATTTTAAAATTTGACCCCCTTATCTTAAATAAGTATTGATTAGGTCTGTTAACTTTTAAATAATTCTATTTTCATCCCCAAAATTTTTATGGCAAATTTATAAATATGTTCCTTTGATAGAAAATCGATGTAAACAAATAAGATCTTTTATTAACGATGCTAGTTTAAAAGGAGTATTAGTAACTTACCACAACAAAAATAGAAATCAACTACAAGCGACTCTTCAATAAAGATTACATCAAATAAATTTGTAAAAATCATAACGAGAGTAATGTATGATTACATAAAAGAAAAAGGAAATTATTACTACATAGATAATCGGGAAAAAGTATATTCAGACCCTCTTAAATTTGTCACTTAATCACTTAAACCCCTTGATATTTAAAATATTATACACAAACTCCCTAAGATTTGTAAGCGCGTAACACATAGTTCACTGTTGTTAAATGTTTGTTAGTATATCCATTAGTAAATTATATCCAAAACCCTAAGATTTGAAATATATAATACTTAGACCTCTCAAGTTTAAAATATTACACTTATACTAAAAATACTCTAATTAAAGATAGAATATCAAATATTTTAAATTTTACAACCAAAATTCATATTCTATTATGTTATTTATTGAAATAAAATCAACAATAAAAATTTAATTTTTACTTTAAAAAATCATAATTAGTATTGTTGATGTTACCAATGGATATTTGGTCCAATGGTACTTCTTGCCTTGTGAAAATTTTGCTTTCTTAAGATTAAGGGTTCAAGTCCCCACCCCTCCCCTCTCTTCCCCAAAAAACATATTTAAAAAAAAATAAAAAAAAATAGTATTGTTGATGTCAAAATTTTGACGACCTCCACGTTAGTTTGAAGTTGAACTAAATGGATTTTTCACCTTAGGTCAATTTTTCCATCATTAAGTAAGAATATATGAAATAGCCCTAATCAACACATTTACATGTTCTATTATATTATCTATTGACATAAAAGCTAAACAAAATCCCATTTTTTGAGGAAAAAATAGTAATCAGTATAAATATGTTAAAGAACTCAATACAACACTCATTTGTGTACAATTATACTGTCTATTGGAATAAAATAAAATACAAATTCAAACAAGGGATCAAACTGCAATGAACACGATATCTTGTATCTTTAATTAGGGTAATTTAGTCAGTTAATAAATTTTGTCAGTTTCGTAATTAATAAGGGATCTAAGTGTAATATTTTAAACTTAAGAGGTCTAAGTGTTATATGTCTACAAACTTTAAGAGGTCTTTGTATATTTTACTAATGGATATATTGACGAACATTAATGACAGGGGTCTAAGTGCACAAACCTTATGAGGATTTAAGTAATTAAATGACAAATCTCAGGGAATTTAGGTGTAATTTTCCTAGATAATAAGAATAACAAAAAAGAATTTGGAGAAATTTATTTCAAACTTCATAGAAAATAAAAATTTACTTTGTATCGCCTGTATCCTATAACATATATAAACATATGATCGAAGAGATAAATATATTTATGTAATCTTAATATTCAAACACATTTAAATGAAGATATTGAATATTTGGTGTACATGTGTCAGCCACTACTAATGACGGCGATGTTTGTCGAGCATATTTTGTTTTTTATCCAACTCAATTATTTT